TACCACTCGAAAGGAGATGTTGGTACTGGTATTCTTTCTGAGACATTACAGGCACCACCTATTCGGCCGCAAGTTCATTGTCCGTACTGACCACCAATCCCTACGCTGGTTACAAAACTTCAAAGATGCTGAGGGTCAAGCAACTCGGTGGCAGGAGATAATACAGGAATATGATTTCGAATGCCTCCGGAAAACAGCACAAGAACGCCGATGCGCTATCACGACGCCCTGCCCTCCACCATGGAGATTGCCCAACCTGCACCAACCAATACGTAGCAACAGTGTGGCTGCAACGTGCGGAATACGGGCGTTGGCAAACAACTCAAGTGAATGATCCAGAAACAGTGTTGATATACGATCGAGTTCGCACAGGTGGTGATCGACCAACAAGCTGCAAGATGGAGGGAAAGAGCTACGAAACTCGGTGCCTTTGGTCGATGTGGAACNGGCAGAGGGAGTGCGATTTGTTCATTACGGCCCAGACTACACATCACGAATAGTGGTACCGCAAACATTGGTTCGAGAAGTCCTACTAGACCTGCATACAGGGTTGAGTAACACGGGTATCAACAAAGTGGAGTTTGCAGCGAGACAACGCTTTTGGTGACCACACATACATAGGGATGTGGTAAATTTCTGCAGCGCATGTGAACTCTGCGGTAGTTTCAAAAATCCGTCCCACAGTTACCGGTCACTACCCCACGCCGCGTCGGGGAACGATAACAGCGAAGACAACGCGAACCCGTTAGAGGTTGCCGTTGAAGTAGAAGTGCCGTTTGAAGGAGGTTTTTCCGGGACGCCGAGGATGGCGCTTTCGAGAGTAGGGGATATTGTAGTGTGAAATCGAAACTGAATGACGTCCAGTAATTGAATGCCGAATTGCCGTTAACAACCACTTTTCCTCTTTCCCTTTACAGGCTGTACAAGTTGTGTGACGCCTGGCACCGTGATGGAAGACACTGAGAACGAAGACCAAAACAGCACCCACATGTAACACTACCATTTTGTATAATAACCATTTCATATTCTTATAGTGTTGCTACGTTTTGCATCAATATAATTTCGTTCGAACCCTTCGAGTCTTCTCCCTGATTGGAACATACTACACCTTCCTTTCCAGGTATGAAGTGGGTGAACAGTGTAACACGGACGAAGAAGAAGAACAGGGAAGAAAGTAGCAGGAGACGCAAGAGAGCTCATGACCATCACTGACCTTGAGTTCTCCCTTCCTTAACGTTCGTGGGTGGTGACCGCATTCTCCCTTCGTGTGGTGATTAGTGGTTAGAGGTGCGGTCAAGTGCTGGTGGTAAACGAGTGTTCATTACTGTCATTTCGAAGTGAACCATCTTGGATACCCATACTTCTCATCTGATTTGTATACCTACGCGAAAACGGCAAATCTCACACCAAATCCACTTGCGACTGGTCGGGCTGCTGTGAACGAGTGAACAGGGTAATCAAAATAGCGACCTAGAGGCTTTGAGCACGAGACCCGCCACGACTATTCGTCTTCGCCAAATTCAGTGGGATAGATGTGACCATATTCATTATTTCGATCTTTTTTCTATTGATTAAGAACAGAAGCGCTGTGTTATGAGTTAGGTGTGCAGTGTTTTCTCTCTATGTGTACTTTAATCGTTTTCTTTGGGAATTACTCTCAAGTATTATCTTCAAGTCAATGGGGTCGTTTAGTTTGTGGCTGATCCCGTTTGACGTTCAATTTTCATAATCCTAATTGCAGTTGGTACATACTCAATAGTTGTTACGCATTAATTCAATGCAAGACTTGGGCATGATTGTGCATAGTTAATTTTGTATTCATGATCCGCTCGTTTTCAGATTTTCGAGTTCCTCCTTGACAAAACCAAATGAACATTGATTTTGCGCACAAGTATCCGGAATCCCATTGGATCAATCGTCAGTCTTCATCTTAGTTATTCCACAGGCCAATACCATACACCATACACGTTACCTTGCTTGCGCACATTGTGAACCTAACCGTTGTCTGCTTGTACACTCACAGATCATTGACTTCATTTTCTGACATCTCATTCTTGCTTCCTTCCATTTATTATACTTTCTTTTTACATCAATTGAAATTTTTCGTCTTGACAATGTGCGAACATCAAGCTAAAGTCTGTTTCGTTCGTTGACACTTGTTTTGTATCTCCAGATGATTCAATACGAGTTGGTTCTATAAATGCGCTTATTCTTAGGTGGTTCATATCTTTATAAGACTAATAGTTATCGTTCATCGATCAGTCAATTCTTGAAGTTGGGTAGACATCTATTGATATTATAAAACGTTCCCATTTGGCGGTCACCACAGGGTGAATTAGGATGTAGAGCGATATTTTACATGTTCAAACCTCAGTTTTGTGGCAAGATATTTCGGTTTAGATCGAACAAAATCTAACGTACATTTGCTGCTTCTGAAAGTCGGACAAGAATTTGTTTACTGCACCATTTCTCTATCGCACCTGAAGCGTCAAGCTTGCAATAAGCATTCAATTCTTCCAGAAAATGATGGTTTAGCGATTTGGATTGTCTGCGAAAATTGGACTTTATTCTACAACAGTTGATGAGGAACTTGAGTCGTCCGTATTTCTGAACAACTAGATTCCAACCACCACACTTTCGGCGTTGTGCTTGCACAAATTTGCCAAGATGAGAGGCTTCTTTGCTTGTTTATCGGGAGGATTCTCCACTGATATCATGTGAACTTACCAGTTGGTGGGCACTAAAGAGGGGGTGGGGTGATGTGAACTGGGGAATGCTTACGAAACCTATCGAACCAGCTGTTACATGTTGTTCTGGCAAGGAGATATTCTGTTGTGTCCTATATACTTCCAAACCGCACACATTCAGGAACGCAAATGCCGAATACTCGCCTCATTTGAAAGTCAACCGGTGAAGGCGAACACAACCTAACATTCCCTGGTAGATTCTGAAAATACAACACCATCTGACCACAATGTCCTGCAACAAATGTTGACTGAAATTATCTAGTAAAACCCTCAACAGTGGAAATCGTTCTGCAGTAGCGGAAGAGGAACAAGAGTCATTCGTCGTTGGGCAACTAGATTACCACCAGCATATGATCCACAACGTGCTTCAACAAATTTTATAACTTGTGAGGTTTCATTTCACTGAATTGATATTAAACTGCTATGTGTATGTGTAGAGTTGGCGAAACGGAACACCGAACTAGACCCAGCGCAAAGATAACGCGTAAAAGAAATCTACGCCTTCGAATGCAAGTGATGTAATTTTGACAATTGAACAAAACAATATTCCGAGTGATCCGGTATATTGTCCATTATCGGGCAGTTTAGGGAATCTTGTCTGAAATAGAAGATCAAGAGAATCTCATAAAGTCTTGGAGGACGATCGATAGGAAAGCACATTCACTCAGGTAAATAAATGTGGTCCCATACATCCACCAATGATGCCTGTGATCACACAACACAGAAGCGTGAATGGTTTGGAAAACACGTTACTCGTCGAATAAATCCACAGATGATCTGAACATGTCACATGATCCGATTTACTAACACATCATATTCAAACAACGAAATTCATGGGGAACACGTTTTGTGGAGCCATGGTACAAAGGAAATGGGAAAACGTACTTTTTTTCGGGCATTTGCTCTTATCGCCTACTTTGTATGGTCTTTGACCCACATAGTTGCCGCTGAAAGTGGATGATGAAACAAACGTGATACTACAACTTTGGAACTTAGCGACCAGAATTCAGATTAAAGGCTATCGATAGATAAGTAAAATGTATATTAAATGATGAGCTAATGACCGAGCATCACTCGGGCAATTTCGAATAAGTGGTAAACGAGAAACATCAGTCGTATCACGGGTTTCCTAGTATGCATCCAAGTGCTTACTCATCGAATAGCTACAATAATACGCATGATAAACCTGTCCAACTGTAATACAATTTATATAACAACCTACGCACTGGAAGTGAGAATTTCGATTGATGCTAAAAGTGTGAAAGTGTGTGCTGTAAATAAGAACAGTGATGTGTACACATACAATTGAATGAGCGTTGTTCAAACAGAATAGATTGATGCGAATGTGCTCACCCCGGGCCGTAGTTGCACACAATCGAAAATCCATATGGGAACTGGTTTCTCGGGCATTGGGTCACACCACAACCCAATTGCGTGCTACCTGCCCAAACGACCTGCAAATCGAAAGATCACAGCATTAATAAAGTCCGATGCTTCATGATTCTAAGAGAACCTGAACGTCTGCGTTTCAGACATACGTTCAGCGAAAGTTGCATATGAAAGATGAGTATAATGAATGATATGATAGGGTTGAGCGATGCCAAATGATAGCAATAGTTGACCTTAGTCTATCGAATAAAAATACTGTATTTTGTTTTAGTCATGAAAGCATTTGTAATAAGAGGCATTTCCTGTTTTGATGGAACTGTCTGTCACCGGTCCCTGCTATTTAATCCACATGCACTCATAACTCACCTGAGTGTAGTGACCACAAACTTTCGTGCAATTATTGTTAGCATAATCGTAATTCTTATGCTCGTCAAACCATGCGTAGAATCCGCTGGGAATGGAAGTAGAAAGAACGGGGGTACGAGAATGAGGGATATGAACTTTGGAACCGCGCACGGAATCATGCTAAGTGAATGGAAGCACCGCAGTTCAGCACTTTGAAGGACTTACTTTTCCACTGATGGATTACCAGCAAAGTTCTGTCCGACCCATCTGAACGGAGCCACTAACCTATCCTGTTTCTTGTCGTGACCAACTTTACATTTGTCACTCCATGTTTGCGCCTTTTCGGCAAGTTTATCGTTCCATGTCTAAAAGTTCGAGGGAGCGAGGCAAATAGCAGAGAGTGAATGAAACATTCGAGGGTGTATTGTGTGACTGCATGTGTGCTGACTGGATGTACAAACAGTACCAGGAGTGGTCATGGTCACAACTACACAGTCAAAAGTGTGAACAATCCGCTTAAGATCACTCACCATTTTGGGCATTTGCGCGGCTGGGGGTTGTCCGGGAACCGTACAATTCAGAAGTTTCGCTCTGTACACATTGTGTAATAACAGCAATTCCGCCTTATCATCGTCTGAGATGGTCGCGGTAATGGTCGAGTACAGACAGACAGACAGCGAGAAATGAAATGAATAGTTGCATTTCTATCGGTTACAACGTCGTCAGGACAAGATGGGGTGCAGTGAACAAGGAACTTTTTATGCTGTTTCGCTGAATCCATTCTTCACAAAGGAAGGTTGAGATCAGTGGTTTTCTTTTCACAAATCGAATTATTTCATACACGGAAAACAAAGTCTAGACATTTACTACCAGAGGTGGGTTTAGAAAGTAATTAGTTGGCAGTTTGTTATTCACTTAGGTCACTATCTGAATTAAATTTACTAGGATCGATTCCAGTCGATTTCAATTTCAATCGTGTACGGACTGTATACGCAACATTGCACTGCGCATGTAATTTTGCTGACGGTTCTCTACCTAGCATGGTGGGATCGAACCATTGAGCTGTAGATGAAATAAGCACAATTTTCTTCGTGAATACTCACATCAAATTTGGTAAAAAACTTGGGTTTTGTCTGATGATACTTTAACTGACGTGTTTCAAGATTAATCATGATTAAGATTCAATTACTGAAATACGGAGTAGTAATATGTCTTTCAAGTGATCGGTCGTGCAGGGCGAAGCTGAAATTACGAATTGCTCAGTTTTATATTTCTTACAGAATTTATACTCTTTTACATAGATTATTCGATCAACCACCTGCGTACGGACACTGAACTGTATAAAACACAATATTCAGTCACAGAAGGGTTGCAACTTGGAACGGTTTTCTGACACACCTGATAGGTTTAGTCATTAAACATAGACTGTACAAGTGGTTTTTGTTTAACAAAATTTTTTGATGTTCAAGGTTATCCAGTGGCACAGCCTAATGTTTAATATTAGCACCCAACTGTTGTTGCAAGCTGACAAGTTCAGATATGGTGAACACGAGACGTTGTGCATAGACTGTGTGGACGCGTATGCACAATCACAATCACACCATCGGATAAACTGGGAGAAAACTGTCAATAAGGATCCGTGAACACCAATCGGCAGTCAGGAGGCATGACCCACTATCCTTGATTTCCGTCCACGAAGATCAAGAAGGACATCAATTTGACTTCGAATAAGTGAGAATTATCGACCAAGCCCAGTCAAAACACGCCAGAGAATTTCTCGAGGACTGGCACTCTTCAATCAACTCAATAACACAGGTACACCGAACTGGATCACGTATACACGCCAATGCAACTGAAGGACCAAATGACGCAACAAAGGTCACGCCGTGACCTGAAAACCATGTCCTCCACACGATTGAATTATTCCGTTTTCGAATCCATTCGTCCACTTGAAAATAATTAAGAAGAGCATTTGGGTAATTTGAAACAACGGATGGATGCTTAATATCAGCTCCATGCAACCAAATAAAACGCACTTTTCCCATGTTTGTGCATAGACTTTGGATTGATTACTTTAGTTCCACGATGTGATACAACATTGTTCATTGGAGTTTCGATGTACACATTGATGTAATTACTGTCGTATAGCTATGAAAAACTTTCAGTTTGTGTTGACCGAAGAAGTGTTGTTACCGAGCTCTTCTGATAGAATACGGATTCATCACGTATTACTTCAATTTGGACGGGAAAGTGGACACATTCACAACTCGTTTGAACAATTTCTGCAACCTGCATTTTAAAACCTGAAAGGACAGAGTGTTTCACAGTTGTACTGTTATTGAGGAAAAAGATGATTGAAAGTGAGAAATGCAACACATGGGATAGTTAACTGAAATGTGTTGCTAGCCACTTGTGTACGGAATCTACGAAAAAAAACGAGCGGGAGAGAAACAGAAGCAGTAAGTTCAATAGAACAAGAAGCGACTACCCCAAGGTGAGTTAGTGGTTGCAAGTTGCATCTTAAGGAAGGATCGTTGATGAGACGGATGGCCTTAGGTTGGACCCAATCAAGAAGAGAGAAGTGGATGAAACTCCGCCACACGCCTGACTGCGGTATTACAGTGTAGGGCGATTCTGAGCTTTGTGAAACAAGAGGAAGCGAATGAGGGTGGATAAAAGTCTGAAGCGGAAGAGTAAGTCGATTCTGTACTACGCGGAAGACAAGTAGATAAATATATGGCGACCATAAGAGCTAAGAAGATTAGGAAAGTCCCAATAGTTTGAATAAATCTGCTGAATGTAGACTTTCCGAGTTGAGATTAAGTGGAGGAGAAAAAGATGCGTCTTTAACAGAAATTTACACAAGGGAATTTCTACTGGCAATAAAGAAAACGCGGTTGCGAAGCCCCAAGTAGAAATAAGGTCCAGATCAGAATTTTGAAACTGAGGGAGGAGCGGTCATCACTAATGTTGGAGTTACTGATGTGTGAAGAGGAATAGAATAAAAAAGAGTGCATGGTAGCGTCATTGGTAAAAGCGTGAATAAGATTTCAAGTAAAGGAGGGAGGGCCGTCATTAAACATCAGAAAAAGGAAGGGAAAAGTATAAAACTTTGAGGGACACCAGTATTCACAGGTGGGGAATGAGACAGAGTTTTATCTCCTCGAGCGGAGATGCTGTGACCCTTGAGATAATTTGCTGTCCAGAACACAAGATACGAAGGAAAACCAAACTTGGGCAGTTTAGCCAGTAGACCTGCGTGCCAGACACAATCGAACTCTTTCCATATACCAAATGACACCTTGTGGGTTTCTTCATGGTTGCCAAGTGCCGCTGACCATGTATGCGAAATGAGTGCCAGAAGATCACCGGTAGATCGTTGGGATCGGAAACAGTACTGACGATCGCTAAGCTTCTCGTTCTGTTCCATAACCTTCGAAATAACTGATGTGTGAGAGGTGGAGGGGGTAGTCGTTTGGATCTGCGTGATCGTTGCGTTCGGGCATGGGAAACATTTCTGATATTTTCCATGAGGTTGAGAATACCCTGGGATCGAAGTATGGAGAATAAGCGGCGTAAGGAAAGGACCATCGCTGGGACGTTAATTTTAAGGCCGATGAGAAGAGTCCCGTCGGGTCCAGGTGGCTTGTGTGCGTCTAGCGATAACAGAATCTGACGATACAAATGAGTGGTGTGAAAAGATGGTTTGCTGTAAGGTATGTTGAGGGTTGGATGAGTGATTTAAGTAAGCTAGAACTGAAAACCAAATGGGAGATGAACACCGACTTTTTAAATCGGGTTGGACATCAAGTCACCGGATGGTTTAACAGAGGGTGGGTAGTTAGTGAAGCAGAAGTTACGTGAGACTGCCTTGGCAAGTGACCAGATAGTCTGGCTTCAGGAAGGAGCGGTTGCTAACTGTGCTGCTTTGAGCTCAATAAAGTGCTCCTCGATCGAGAGTATGAGCTTGGTTGCTGATACCGTAGGGGATACGGGTCGGGAAATCAACCAGTTAGTGAAGATAGTTTAACAGGGCAAATGATTTTGCTTACCACCCAAAGGGCGATGTCCTTGACGAGTGTAATAGCCAATCCCTGTTATGGACGCTAAAATCGCCCAACACTGTGAACTGAGCTTTGGGGTCTGCTTCAACAATGCCATCAATATCTACCGCTAAAACATCAAAGAGTGATAAGTTACTACTATTTGGAAAACGGTATACAGTGCATAATAGCGCTTGGAAGAAGAGGACCGAAATTTCATCCACGTGGTTTAGAACTCGCGGTTGGTGAGATTTAAGTGGGAGAACGGGGTGGAAGTAGGCGAAGGATGGAAGTACAAATGCTTTGGGGATGAAT